GGGAGAGACTGCCTCTGTGACACACATTCCCACTGGGAAACCTGATAATACAGGCCAACCCAGCACTGGAGCTAAGCAGTTGGGAATGTTGAGAAGGAGCAGCATCGGACATGCTGTGCACTACCAGACTCCAGTAGGGTTGGAGGGAAGCCATCCTAATTCTACTTTGCAGGGAGTCTTGTAGAAGTCAGACAGCTAACTCAGGCAGCAGTCACAGGTTGAGATAAGCTCCCAACTGTGATTCACAACATAATCTTGAAGGGGATGAACTCCCTCAGCCAGAACTAAGGAGCAAGTAAAGGCACTGTAATCACATGTGTAAAAGCTGGGCATCCTTGCTTTTGGGCAGACCAGGAGCGGTATGGCCTGAAAGCCACAGTTTCTGTCCAGGTGGGGAAAGCTTATAGCCTGAGGCAGTTTTGAGTTCTAAGTGCAGGGTTTCTGGAACCCAGCTAGCTGGGTTAAACACAAACAAAAAGAGTCTGTGCTGTTGCTAATATTACATGTTATACTTGTATAAATTCCTCTGGAAGAGTTAAGACCCAAATACATAAAATCAACAAAACAAAACAAGCAAACAAAAAACACAGGTTATAACAAGTTTCACCTAATTCCTCATGATCATTTAATTAATTAAATTAATTTAATTTATTCAATTTGTTGTCTTTAAACCTAAGTTCATAGATCACAACTACTATACAAGCTGAGATTATCATATTACTATTAATTTTATTTATTATTTTTCTTTTAAACCTTGTACCTGTTACTTCTTAAATTTCCATAGAACAACTCTTTCTTTTTTTGAGACGGTGAGATGGTGAGATGGAGTCTCGGTCTGTTGCTAGGCTGGAGTGAAGTGGCACAATCTTGTCTCACTGCAATTTCTACCTCCTGGGTTCAAGCAATTCTCCTGCCTCAGCCTCCTGAGTAGCTAGGACTACAGGCATATGCCACCATGCCCAGCTAATTTTCTTGTATTTTAGTACTCACCACAACAGATTTGTGGTGAACCACCTAAGTATTGTATTATATTCACAATATATAGGTATTGTGGTATTCACCACAATAGATTTGTAGTGAATCACCTATGTTGATTTGCATATGTTGAACAGGGTTTCACCATGTTGGCCAAGATGGTCTCCATCTGACCTCATGATCCGCCCACCTCAGCCTGTCACAGAACAACTCTTAACAGAATGATGCTGGCCCAACACTTTGAGATAATAGTAAACGTCTGCAGAATAGAAAAATCTTAAACTTAACAATTGACTCTAGGTAGCTGTAGCCTGAGAACCACTCTCTCCAAACCCTTCTTGTTGCTCAAATGTAGGTAAGTGGGTTTAGACACTAACTCCAAATATCATTTGGAATCACATAAATGTTCAGCCACCACAATATTTTATGATGCATCTTTGATTAAATTCATGGAACCGGCATTAATTCCTATATTTATTTCCCTTTCTTGCCTTCTGACAGCCTATTCTAAAAGCCACCTTCATCTACCACAGGCTCAGCCATAAAGCAAATCTCAATAGATTCAAAAAAATTAAACTCATATCAACCATACTCTCAGACCACAGTGGACCAAAATTAGAAATCAATACCAAGAAGATCTCTCAAAACCACACAATTACATGGAAATTAAATGACTTGCTCCTGAATGACTTTTGAGTAAACAATGAAATTAAGGTAGAGATCAAAAAATTATTCGAAATAACTGAAAACAGAGATATAGCATACCAAAATCACTGGGATGTAGCAAAAGCAATGGTAAGAAAAATGTTTAGAGTACTTAAATGCTTACCTTAAAAAGTTAGAAAGATCGTGTATTAATAATCTAATGCCACTCCTAGAGGAATTAGAAAAACAAGATCAAACTAACACCAAAGTTAGCAAAAGAAAAAAAAAATAGCTATAAAATGAGAGCAGAACTGAACAAAATTGAGACCCAAAATCCATAAAAAGAATCAACAAAACCAAAAGTTTGTTATATAAATGAGATTAATAGACCACTAGCTAGATTAAAAAAAGAAAAAGCGAGAGAAGATTCAAATAAGCACAATCAGAAATGACAAAGGTGACATTACAATTGATTCCACAGAAATATAAAAAATCTCCCAAGACTATTATGAACACTTCTAGGTACACAAACTAGAAAATCTAGAGGAAGTGAATAAGTTCCTGGAAACACACAATTTCCCAAGATTCAATTAGAAAGAAATTGAAACTCTGAACAGATCAATATCAAGATCTGAAATTGAAATAGTAGTAAAAAACCTACCAACCAATAAAAGCCCTGACAAGATGGATTCACAGCCAAATTCTATCAGATGTACAAAGGAAAGCTGGTACAATCCTGCTGAAACTATTCCAAAAAATTGAGGAAGGACTCCTCTCTAACTTGTTCTATGAAACCAGCATAACACCAATACCAAAACCTTGCAGAGATACAATAAAAACAGAAAACTACAGACCAATATCCCTGATGAATATAGATGAAAAATCCTCAACAAATTACTAGCAAACAGAATCCAGCAGTACATCCACATTGACTTTTAAATATATTTTTGTTTAGGGAGCTGAGGTGTTATCTTGCTTTTATTGTCAACAGTGGTGGTTATTTTGAGAATTTTAAAATATTTTTAAAACCAAAAAGCAAGAATGTCTTCTGTTTGGAAGCTCACTTAGGTAGGGAGACTGTTTCTAACACACTCACAATTAATTATAGAAATCATCAGGCCTGTGACAATCACGATGTAAAGTGTGAGTTGTTTCTGTTTTTGCAAAAGAAGAAACTAAAATCATACCCATAATAACCCAGAATGGTCATAACAAAAGATCAGAAGCAGATGCCTCTGAGGGGACCTGGATTGGCTGAAATATTAAAGGTCACTTATAATACCACAGAAAAGTACCCTTAAGAATGGTCAAAATGGTAAATTTTTTTTTTATTGCATTTTAGGTTTTGGGGTACATGTGATGAACATGCAAGATTGTTGCATAGGTACACACATGGCAGTGTGCTTTGCTGCCTTCCGTCCCCTCACCTGTATCTGTCATTTCTCCCCATGCTATCTCTTCCCACCTCCCCACCCCCCCGCCCCTCCCCCATTTCCCCCCAACGGACCCCAGTGTGTAGTGCTCCCCTCCCTGTGTCCATGTGTTCTCATTGTTCAACACCCGCCTATGAGTGAGAATATACGGTGTTTGATTTTCTGCTCTTGTGTCAGTTTGCTAACCCAAATGTCAAAATGGTAAATTTTGATGGTAATTTTACCACAATAAAAATGTTCAAAACATTGAAAATTTGTTTTAAAAATGCAATGCAATGATTCCTCCGCTTATAAAAAACGTTCCACTGAATGAGCAAGGAGCTGGCCCTAGAGTCAGTGAGGCTCAGCAGCTGGGACAGAAAGGACCCTGTGGTAGCATCAGCCCCTTCTCTCCTGAGCTGCCACATTCCCAGACACCAGTGTGATCTGTCTTTGGCTGTATAAGACACACTCCATACGTGGCTTTGAAAGCACACAGACCCGAGTTCTGGTTTCAGCATCAATGTATCCTTCTTCATTAGAGCTCTGTACCTTACCTCTCTCTGCCTGCGTCCTAGGCTGCAGATCTGAAGTATTTACAAAGAAGCTGTTAGGATTTGAGCAGCATAATGAAGCAGTCTTTTACATAACCGCTCTAGGACTTGCAAATTGGTTATGTTTGCCTCCTGCTGCTAGAATTCACCTCCACAGGGAGCTGCTTGTCTGTTGTGCACTGTTCAAATGCCTGGAACAGTCTGGCAGGCCATGGGCATTCGACTATCATTTGTGGTTTAATCTCTGCCCGCCCTCCTGGCCTTCCTGTGTGAGCGGGAAGGGAGTGTTCCTGCATCCCTGGGAGGCATCCTGACAAGTCCAGTGGCCTCTGCATCCACCGTGGTCTTGAACATACCCATTCCTCTTTATCCCCATGCCCACCACCTCAGTGGCAGTTGCACCCTTCCTTTACCACGTGTACCAATAGGAGCAGCTCCCTGCCTGGTCTCTCTCCTCCCCAGCCTTCCCACTCTAGTCTACACCCAACACCTCCACCCCAAAACCGCCTTCTAACACTGATCTGGCCATGCCACCCTCCAGCTCCAGTGCCACTCAGCGCTTCCTATACCCTCAGGGTGAAGTCTGTGGTGCCTCAGTGAACAGACGCTTCAACTCTCACCCTCCCCATGCCTGCTCTGTCCTCAGCCCCCAAGCCCTGTGAGTTCCTTCCCAGGGCTGTGCCCCATCTTCAGCCTTTTCTTAACTGATTTCTTTTCTCTGGTATATTCTCTCTCCCAATCCTCATCATCACCTGCCTAACTCCTGCTTACCCTTCAGGAATCCATTTAGAGGCTACCTTTTCTGAAAAGCCTTCCTTGATTTTACCCCACCCCACTCAACCTGAGTGAAGTGTTTCTTTTCTTCCTGCCAAGGCCAGACAGCAAGCAAATCATTGAACTGGGATTGAAAGTCAGGCCCACCTGTTCCCAAAACAGCAAGCCAAAACCAGAAGACTGTGTCATTACTTATTTCTCCAGGAAAAAAGAGACTCAAGAGTGAGGTAGAGCTCAGCTAACATCCTGAAAAGTTGCCCAAAATATATTAAATGAAAACACCAGATTGTAGAACAATGTGCGTGGCATAATTCCTTCAAAAAACATAACAAACTATATATGGTTTATTTAGGTTTTTAAAGCACAGTAGAAGCCTAACAAACACAAATGGAGCTGTTAATGGTAATTTTGGGTGGGTGAACTTAAATATTCTATAAGATTTGAATTTGTTATGTATTCTTCATGTCCTCAAAAAAATTAAATTCCAACGAAACTCCACAGCTTTTCTCCAGTAATAAGTAAGAGGTGTGAACACTAAGGAATTGCAGTAGACAGAGATCAGCTTTTGGAGGAAGGGCTCCTTCCTGCAGTGGTAACATGAGACGAGAGCAGACGCAGTTAGCCAAGCAGTCACACTCACCTTTCCCAGCAGCTCAGGCAGGCCCAGCAGCTGCCCAGTGAACACACCAATGCAGATGAAGATGGCGGTCACCTGCCCCAGAGAGCCACGGATCTGCTTGGGTGAGATCTCACTGAGGTACATGGGGAGCACACTGAGCGCAATGCCTGTGGAGGAAGCACAGCAGCAGTTAGAGAGGTGTCTTCCTGAGGGAGCCGCACTCTGGTTACACTGCCTCTCTTGGCTCTGCTTTGCCCTGGACATTAAATAGCACTGTAGCCTGAGCATCTTTCCCAGCACTTTGCACAGATTGCCAAAGCTTTCCCACGCACTTTATAATTTAACCCCTAAAGTATGACTGGAGTTGCAATTCAGAGGACAGGACACAGCTGACGGTGTTGGTGGAGGTAATGGTAATGATGGTGATGGTGATGGTAGTGACGGTGATAATAATGGTTGTGATGGTAGTGGTGGTGGTAGTGATGGTCATGATGGTGATGATGGTAGTGGTGATGTTAGTGGTGGTGATGGTGGTGGTAGTGATGGTGATGATGGTGGTAGTAGTGTGGTCATGATGGTGGTGGTGGTGGTGGTGATGATGGTGGTGGTAGTGATGGTGACAATGGTGATGGTGATTATGGTGGTGGTATTGATGGTGATGATGGTGATGGTGATGATGGTGGTGGTAGTGTGGTCATGATGGTGATGGTGGTGGTGGTGATGATGGTGGTGGTATTGATGGTGATGATGGTGATGGTGATGGTGGTGGTAGTGATGGTCATGATGGTGATGGTGATGATGGTGGTGGTAGTGATGGTGGTCATGATGGTGATGATGGTGGTGGTGGTGGTGAAGGTGATGGTTGTGGCAATGATGATGATGGTGATGGTGGTGGTAATGATGGTCATGATGGTGATGGTGATGGTGGTGATGATGATAGTAGTGGTAATGGCAGTAGCAATGGTGATGATGGTGGTGGTGGTGTTGGTGGTGGTAGTGATGGTGGTGGTGGTGGTAGTGATGGTGGTGGTGGTGGTAGTGATGGTGATGGTGGTAATGATGATGATGGTTGTAGCAATGATGATGGTGATTGTGCTGTTAGTAGTGATGGTCATGACAGCAATGACAGTGATAGTGGTGATGGTGATGATGGTGGTGGTGATGGTGGTAGCAAAGGTGATAATGATGGTGATGGTGGTGGTGGTGATAGTGATAATAGCCAATACACAGTGGCTACCAATTAACAGGAATTCTTCTTATCTCTTTATTTATATTAACATATTTACTCTTTACAATAATCCTCTGAATTAAATATACTATTATTATTTCTAGTCTAAAGATGGGTAAACTGAGGCACAGAGAAGTTGAGTAACTTGCCTAAATCACCAAGTGATGTCCAGAGATGCTCAAAAAATTATTTTGCCCAGCAGAACCCCAATGGGTCTCTGATCTTAGAATCTGAGCTTTTCCCACCAGCTAACATTGCCTCTTGTCATAAATTATGGGACTCAGTTATGGCAGATGCTGTTATACTCATTTTATAAGAATAAGTCACCCACATATAATCTAATGATTTTTAGCTAAATTCACATGTTCGGAGGCTTACGACAGGTATTTTGAATAAAAACTAACATTTATAAAGATGTTCTACAAAGTGCTTACTGCACACACAGTGGGCCTGTTAGGAAAAACAATATGAGGACTTGTCAATTTTAAAAAAACAAACCAATCTTGCTTTTCCCCTATACCTGAGTAGGGTTATTCTTAAGTTACTTCTTAGGCCTATAAATGATTACATTGTGCTTATCCCAGGCAAATTCATTGATTGTTTAGAGCACAGATTCCTGCAACTTACAAGCTGTGGGAACTTGGGTGGAGTTGTTAGCTTCTCTCAGCTTCCACAAGATGGGGATAAATATTGAGCCTAGCTACATGGGATCTCTGTGAGAGTTAAGACATGCTCAGTACCTACTCATTGTAAAATGCTGTACAAATTAGCATTATGAGCACCTATTACTACCATTTAATTTTTCACCAGGTTATGAGGGCATCAAAAATGTCTTTCCCGCCTTGGTTTTCCGATGCCTCTAGTATCGCTTCCAATTGACTTTAGGCACCAATAGATGTGCTTCAAGTTGAAATGAATTCACCCCAGTTGCTAGCATTCAGGGAAGACTCTCCTGAAAAAACAAATCAGTGAAGGGAACACACACCCCAGTTTACAAACTGGGAATCTTATTCATTGCATCTTAGCCCAGGATACTGCTTCTAGTTTACCACTCAAAACAAACATACTTAAGAAGTAAAGAGATGGAACTTGTTTATCAAAACACAGACCAGATGATGCTTGAGTTTTTATTGAAAACACATCTATTGGGAGCATATGGCCTCATGGAGTAATTGGCAGCCCACCCCACAATTTAGTCTATTATCTGAGCAAGCAGGGCAATAGAGGGAAAACGGTCTACACTGGACTCAAGTCCCACAGCCCTGATTTCCTCAAAGGGGAACTGGACCAACTTACTTAATCTCTTTTGCCCTCAGCTCACTTATTTGTAAAATACAGTGATGACTATTCCTGCTGTAAAGGGAATAAAATGACTACATGTAAAGCACCTGGCTCATGTGTGGTCACTTGGTGAACACTTCAAAAACTGTTGTTGTTGTTTTTTTCTTTACCCTGATGCTCCTCCTACCCAACAAGGGGATCAATAATCACTATCTCACAAAACGCAGTAAGGAAATGAGGGAGCTGTAGCGCAGAGGCAGCGTCAGCAGTGGTGGGGGCATGGAGCTAACTTATCTGCCTCTTCTGTAAAGCTAGGGTGGCAGGAGCATCTCCACGCGGTGCTATGCATGTGTGAACACATGTCAAATGCCTAGCAGAGTGTGTGGCATAGACTCAGCTGTCAATAAATGGTGACTCTTCTTATTTGCCCATTGTGAAATGACATGGAAGGGGAGATACTAGTGGCTAAAGCAGCAGTGAACGAGGAGGTGGGCTGCATTAAAAGTCTGCCATCAGGTGACCAGCTCAACCCAGTTTGCCTAGTACCACCCAGAAACCCCCTCAGTCCTGGACAAACCAGGATGGTTGGTCATCCTAGGCCCATGATGCTGTACCAAGTATCCCTACCTCTGAGCAGCCTCTTCTGACCTCTCAGCCCATCTTCTGCCACTATCCTCCCCAGGAGTCCTGGACGTGAAATTCACTGAACACTCCAGGATCATTCTAATCAAAGGATGTTGGCCTCTGCTCTTCTATGTGTCTGGAACCCTCTGTCTTCAGAGCTCCACAGGCTTCTTAACCTTCTGGTCTCTGTTCAGTGACACCTCTTACAGTGGGTTGCATGGTGTCCTTCCAAAAGATATGCTGAGGCCCTAAATCCTGTTACTTGTGAATGTAGCCTTATTTGGAAATAGGGTTTTTGCAGATGTAATCAAGTTAAGATAAGGTCATATTGGAGTAGGATGGGCCATAAATGCAATACTTTTCATTCTTATAAGAAGGCTAGGTGAAGACACAGACCCAGACCCAGACACAGACATGGGAGAAGGAGACAGACTGGACTGATGCAGCAACAAGCCAGGAATGCCAGGATTTCTGGCTGCCACCAGAAGGTAGAAGAGAGGCCCGGAACAGATTCTCCACGGAAGCTCTCAAAAGCAGTCTCCTGCTGATCTTGGACTTCTACAGTAGCGGACATGGGCTTGTCCACTATAGAGCTCCTAATTCAGATGTGAGCTTGCACCTCCGGGATGTAGACAGCACTGGGAAGACCATGGCAGGGACATGTCCAGTGCAATCTTCCACAAACAAAATATCAGTACAGTCTCCTATTTTAACTTTATTATGTACATGAATTTTGTCTCCAACAGCATTTGGTGTCATGTTTGTATTGATGTAAAGAATAATATGTTTATTCTTTTTCTCTAAGCCTTCTAATGAAGAACACTCCAGGAAGACACCCTGTTGTTCCACTGTGGTTCCAAATACTCTAGGAGAACGTGGTCGGATCAGCGAGTCTTAGAGCCTTCTACCATCTCAAAATCCTTCAGGTTTATCGTTTGGCTTTACATTCTTTACTACAAACCGATCAGCCAGTTCAGGTAATGTCAGCAACATTCCTTTCTTTCTGACCAATTCTCTCTGCTTTGAGAGGGTTGGTGAGAATACATGACATGAAGTCTCCACGCCCTGGCATGACTCCAACAGGCCACCTGCCACAAGTCAGAAAGACTGAAGTTTTTTCTTTCCTCTTTGTTCTTCTTTCTTCCTGCTTCTTTTTGAAAAGCTCTTAGGAAAAAGGGTCTAAAAGGCATTTGTTCTGCACCTGTGGTTTTCTAAAAGGGCCATCTTGGAATACTGCTTATTTTTAGGTAAGGAAATTCAGAGATTGATTACTTATATGTTAGAAGGGTCAATTCCCCAGATTGGTTAAAGCAACAAGAAAGAGCCTAATGGATAAGATATAAAACTGCCAAACAGAAAGAATCTCAGTCACCTCAATGAGGAAAGGACTTTCCAGGTGATCCACTCCAACCTCAGCCAGCCTTTCTCCAAAGCAGGCAGGGCCTTTGAAACCCAAATCCTAGATCTGTGCTTCATTACTTAAGAATACAAACAACAGGCCGGGCGCGGTGGCTCAAGCCTGTAATCCCAGCACTTTGGGAGGCTGAGGTGGGTGGATCACGAGGTCAACAGATCGAGACCATCCTGGTCAACATGGTGAAACCCCGTCTCTACTAAAAATACTAAAAATTAGCTGGGCATGGTGGCTCGGGCCTGTAATCCCAGCTACTCAGGAGGCTGAGGCAGGAGAATTGCCTGAACCCAGGAGGCGGAGGTTGCGGTGAGCCGAGATCGCGCCATTGCACTCCAGCCTGGGTAACAAGAGCGAAACTCCGTCTCAAAAAAAAAAAAAAGAATACAAATAACAACAACAACAATGACAATAATACCATCACCATTCCTGGAGTGGAGCACTGAGTGCCTGGAACTACACTAAGCACTTCACATACCTAATAGATCACTTAATTTTTACACCACCCAATGAGAAAGGCCTTACTACTAAGTTGCCTTGCCAGACGGCAAAGAGGCCAAGACATTGAGGTCAATGGTTGCTGCAGTGGTTCCTGATTTGTACCCCTCCCTGGATCCACCTCCCTGGGGAGTTAGTCCTCTCTGACATTCATTCTGCACCTGGTGTTGGGACTTGCTTGGGCCCACGGGACATCAGCAAATGCGCATGCAAAGTGCTTGCACATTGGGACTTTATTGGCTGCTATTGAAAGCCCAAGAACTCTCTGCAAGGCAGCCCAGGTTCCTAGGGCCCAGGGTGGGAAGCCAAGAAATGGGCTGGCACACTGAGAGCCCCTGAGATCAGGCCACCTGCTAACAGCCAAACACAGAAGTGAGGCCATCCCAGGTCATCCAGCCACTGACCAACCTGAAGTCACTGCAGACATGGGAAGACCCAGCAGAAGTTGGCAGAGCTGGCCCAGAGCAGAACTACCCAGCCGACCCACAGAAGTGAAAGCACAGTAAAACGGTTCTCGTTTGAAGCCATTACATTTTGTTTTGTTTTGTTTTAAGAGACAGGGTCTCACTCTGTAGCCAAGGCTAGAATGCAATGGTGCCATCATGGCTTAAGTCTGGGGTTTTAAAAATGCAGCGAATCTAACCTATACAGATAAGTTAATGAAATTAATGGAAGTAAGTGAGAGCACCAGGCAGTCTGAATCCATAGACTTCACCCTTAACTACTTTCCTGCTCCAGCTTTCTGAGACTTAGTGTCCTCATTTGAAAAGGAACATGAAAAAAACAGTCTTTCATTATAGGAGGAGATCAAAAGAGATGAAAACCATGAACATAGTTGGTCAATTATATAACATTGCATAGACTGCAGCCATTATTCCTACAGATAAACTCTCTATAGCCATCTCCCTTCTACTTGAATAGAAGGAGTCTATTCAAGTAGAATAGACTAATGAATAAGCAAATGATTGAGAAGTCACTTCATCCTGAGTTTGGACTATCACAGAGTCCTGGGTTATTCCCCTCCAGCAGGGCAACAAAGGTCAGTGAAGTCTCCTCCTCCCAACTTTACTTCCACGCCCCCACTCTCCTGCTCACCTCTCCCTGAGACATTTTTGTTGTTCATCTCACTCATAAAGCCTGGTACCCTCAGCTTTTAAGACATCAGCAAGGAAGGGAATTAGCCTTTAAGAAGCTCATGCTAGGTTCCAGGCAGTGTGTGTGTGTGTGTGTGTGTGTGTGTGTGTGTGTGTGTGTGTGTTTCAGTTCAGCCTTATATAGCCTTTCAAAGTAGGGATTATTTATTTATTTATTTACCCACATTGCTATTTGTTCTCTTCAGCTGGATCAAAGTAGGGATTACTATCTCTATTTTACAAATGGGGAAACCAAGGCTCAGAGACATTAAGTAACTTACACAAATCAGAAATTGGCAAGCAGCAGACAGAACTGAGATCCAAACTCAGAGATCTCTAATTCTAAGGCTTGCAATCTTTCCACAAATCCCTAAAAGTGATACTGTATGGATTTGCCTATTTAGAAAGAAAGCAGAGTTTGTCTGACAATATATCTGGATTTGCCCATTTAGAAAAAGAGCAAAGTTTATCTGACAATATATCTGGATATGCCTATTTAGAAAGTCAGCAGAGTTTCTCTGACAATGTATCTTAAGTCTCCTACTCTCACTCCCACAGCCAGGATCTGTTCCCTTCTCCCCAGTTCCCTTCCCAGCCCAGTCCCTTTCCCTGAACAGCTGGCTCCTCTGATTCCACTCCTGACTTCTCCTCACACTCCCTTATTGGAACAAACCAGCCCATGTCACATTTCTCTCAACCCTCCCTGCACACTCAGCATGGGCCCACAGTCCTCACCATAGCCTACAAGGGCTTGTGCGATCTGGCCCCCGCTCCTCTTTGCCCTCATAAGCACCCACACATCTCCTGGCTCTTTCTCAGACATGCTATTGCCCCCTTCCACCTCTGAGCTGTCGTCACACTCTTCTCTCTGCTGGGAACAGTTCTCACCCTCAGCTCCTCTGGTCTCTGCTCATGCTTCCTCCTCTCAACAGTCTTCCCTGATTGGCCTTTCTAAAACAGCCCTCACCACCCACGTGCTCTGCTTTGTTTTATTCCTAGGACCTGCTACTATCTACTTTATGTATCTGCCTGATCACTAGAATGTAAGCTCCAGGGACAGGGTCTTGTTAATCATTGTGTCTCCATCAGCATGCCAGCCCTTGCAGGTGTTCCACAAATGCTTGGCGAGTGAATGAAGCAACGAATGAGTCGGAGGCCCAGAGAAGAAACACCATCCACATAAAAGCCCCCTGAAAACCACAGATAATCTTGGAATATGAACATTATGATGAAGGTGACCAAGCAGAAGACATGACATGCTGAAGACCTCCCAGGTCTTTAGGGTAGCCTGGGGACCCTGCCCAGCATTCCTCAATTAGGGGCTAGAGCATCCTGAATTGGATGGCTCATCCCACAGGACTGTCCCACTTTATACAGACTTCTAGCATCCTCGGTCCCTGACAACTCAGTATCAGCAGAGAGCTCCAGTCATGTGACTGCCCCAAACACCCCTCACCTTTTGGGACACCCCCAAGGAATATATTACTGTTCCCATCAGGGTGAACTCTCACCTCCATTTATGCCCATGATGAAGCGTCCCACGATGAGCATTTCAAAGGCTCCTGCCTGGAGCGAACAGGCCATCAGCAATGCAGCAGAAATTGCAAACCCATTATTGGCCAGCAAAGTGTGCTTCCTGGAAAGAAAGGAGAGATTTGATGAAGACATCTCACCATGAGGCATGTCACTGAACTGTCCATCCCTGGAGCAGGGGCCAGGCCCTTCTGAAGGGTGAGTAGAGTAAGACTCAGGCACAGTGTGGAGAGCACTGACCTTGCCACCTCTGGCTGTGTGACCTTGAGCAAGGCACTTCATCCGCCTGGGTTCAGCCCTGGGGTCTACTAGGTCACTTCCAAAGGCACCATCAGCCTTGACATCTGTGAGTTCTCTGTGGTATTTTACTGCATTAACTCTAAGACTTTTACTTAACATTCTGAAATCAATATGCATCTTATAATTCTTGAGTCAGGGTCCAGGCAGGAAAATGGAAAGCACTCTAGGTATTTTAATGGAAAGAATTTAACATAGGGAATTGGTTAAGCAGATATTGAAGAACTGAGATATCAAAAAGGAAGACCTCTGAAGAGGGGGTGTTTCTTATGTGGTGCTGACACCTCAGGGGCCTGGAGGAGGACCCCAAAGACCTCTGAGAATGGGCACTGCCCACTGGTACCATTTCCTCTGAGGGGCAGCATGATTCTGGTTCTGGAAGTGGACAAAAGTTGGAGGCTGGAATCAACTGCCAATGTCATCACTGGGACTGGCAGGAAATTCAGACAAACATGAAAAAGCAAGTCCATTCTCTCTCCTCCAATGCCCCTATTGGCAAAGGACAAATAGGGGTGCATGTCCTAGCCCCAGCATCAGAGAGAGAGAGAGAGAGAGCCCAGAAGGGTAAGTGCGGAGCCGAGAGACAACAGATTGACAACCAGCATAGCATCCTACAACTTTAGTTGGCTCCTTCCTTCCCCTCCCTTCCTTATTTCCTTTCCTTTCCTTTCCAGTGGCTCACAAAACAACAATACTTCTTAGACTCAACAGCATCTTAGATTTGATGGACTACAGTACTAAGTGTATGGCTGGACTAATCCCCTCAAACAAGATCAGGGAATTGGCAATAATTATTATTAACAGCTCTGTGTCAGGACTGCCATCACTGTTTTATAAACACATGCCTAAGACTTTGTGGTTCAAATCTGACTTGTTTGGAGGCCAAGAGACCTGGATTCCTGCACCAGCTCTATCCTTCGGGAGCTAGGATATTTTGAACTATATTGCTCTGTATTATCTTTTCTCACTTTTGCAAAATGATCTTAAAAGCCCGCATTTATTGAACTGTTACTATAGGATAGACCCTGTTCTAAGTACTTTATATGAGTAGCTAATTTAATCCTCAAAATGACCCAAAAAGATAGGTGCTCTTATTATCCTTCCTTTATTTTTTTAAAGTATGTTTCTACCTTTATTTTATTTCACATGGCAACTCAGTTGTCCCAATCCCATTCATTCAATAGTGCCTACTTTATACAATACTATAATATACAGTCTTTATCATACCTAGGCATATGCTGAAGATATTGCAAGTCTGCTTCTACCATTGCAATAAAACAAATATTATATATATTTGTATGTTAGCTTCTGGGGTACATGTGCAGAACATGCAGGATTGTTGCATAGGTACCTACCATTGTTGTATGGCAATGTGGTTTGCTGCCTCCCTCCCCCCGTCACCTACATCAGGTATTTCTCCCCATGTTATCCCTCCCCAACCTCCCCACCTGCCACTGCCCCTCCCTATTTCCCTCCAACAGACCCCAGTGTGTGATGCTCCCCTCCCTGTGTCCATGTGTTCTCGTTCAACACCCGACTATGAGTGAGAACATGCAGTGTTTGATTTTCTGTTCTTGCATCAGTTTGCTGAGAATTATGGTTTCCAGATTCATCCATGTCCCTACAAAGGACATAAACTCATCGTTTTTTATGGCTGCATAGTATTTCATGGTGTATATGTACCACATTTTCCCTATCCAGTCTATCATCAATGGGCATTTGGGTTGGTTCCAGGTCTTTGCTATTGTAAACAGCGCTGCTATAAACATACGTGTGCATGTGTCTTTATAACAGAAAGATTTATAATCCTTTGGGCATATACCCAGTAATGGGATTGCTGGGTCAAATGGAATTTCTATTTCTAGGTCCTTGAGGAATCGCCACACCGTCTTCCACAATGGTTGAACTAATTTACACTCCCACCAACAGTGTAAAAGTGTTCCTATTTCTCCACATCCTCTCCAGCATCTGTTGTCTCCAGATTTTTTAATGATCGCCATTCTAACTGGCATGAAATGGTATCTCAATGTGATTTTGATTTGCATTTCTCTAATGACCAGTGATGATGAGCATTTTTTCATATGTTTTTTGGTCTCATAAATGTCTTCTTTTGAAAAGTGTCTGTTCATATCCTTCACCCACTTTTGAATGGGTTTGTTTGTTTTCCTCTTGTAAATCTGTTTTAGTTCTTTGTAGATTCTGGATATTAGCCCTTTGTCAGACGGGTAGATTGCAAAAATTTTTTCCCATTCTGTTGGTTGCTGGTTCACTCTAATGATTGTTTCTTTTGCTGTGCCGAAACTCTTAAGTTTAATTAGGTTCCATTTGTCTATTTTGGCTTTTGTTGCCAATGCTTTTGGTGTTTTAGTCATGAAGTCCTTGCCTATGCCAATGTCCTGAATGGTTTTGCCTAGGTTTTTTTCCAGGGTTTTTTATGGTGTTACATCTTATGTTTAAGTCTTTAATCCATCTAAAGTTAATTTTAGTGTAAGGTTTCAGGAAGGGGTCCAGTTTCTGCTTTCTGCACATGGCTAGCCAGTTTTCCCAACACCGTTTATGAAACAGGGAATCCTTTCCCCATTGCTTGTCAAGCAGTTGGTGAAACATCTTAGCCTTTTATGCTTATTTTTTTCTAAAGACTCAATGAGTTAACAGATATTAAATTGTTTTATAAATTGTGGGAAGCTAGGAATTTGAGAGGGAGCCTTTTAAAAATTACTTTTAGGAGTTAGATCTCTTGACTTCTAGTCCAGAGCCCTATCCACTCTTTCTGTGAAGTAGCCAGTGGTTGACACAAGCCAAGTGTCCATTAATTAGGGACTATTTAAATAAATTATGCTACATCTATATGGTGGACATTATGCAGACATTAAAATAGAGGCAGCTTTGTAGATTGCGATTTGGAAAGATCTCCAAGATATACTAAGTACAAAGAGCAAGGTACAGAGGTTTTTGTAAAATATGCAACAATTTATGTAAGAAATAAATGTCTCTGTGTGTGTGTGTGTGTGTGTGCATCTGTGTGTGTCTCTATGTGTGTAGATTAGACACAAACCTTGGAAAAGACACAAAAAACTGGTAGCATCAGTTGCCTCCAGGGAGGGAGCAAAGTGGCTGGAGGACAGAAATGGAAAGGCAACCCTTCACTTTACATTCATTTGTTCCCTTTGAAAGTTCAGCCACAGGAATGTATTAATTATTCAAAAAGAAATAAATTTTGTTTTTAAAATATTAATTTAAATGGACCTCATGATAGAAAAAAGAAACTCATTATGACTTGGCAGACACTTAAAACCTCCATTCAAGACACACGTCCCTGATTCTCTGAGGAAGGTCACAGGCTCTGGGTGCAATCAAGATGAGCCTGGAGGTATTCATTTCTGCTGGTGGCAGCGCCACACATGGCGGCCACACACCACACTGCTTGGAGTCCCTGGCCCTCCCTGCAGGCCTCTAAGGAACCTCCAGTTTCCTTATGGAGAAAGCATGGCCATGGGTGAGAGGAGGGGTGGGAGACAAGGCTTTGGAGTGGGGAAGCTGGGCTGAAAGCGTGTTCTCCAGCTAGGTCAGCAAACAGTGAGTGTCAGACCCTGGGTATTCCATTGGGAAAAGGGAGTCATTCCTGTTCTCGCCTCATGGACTTCACAGTCTAATTAGGAAGACAAGCATCAGATAAATTGTCCCACAAAAGCTTATTAACAAGCAACGCTGACCTGTGGAAGTAAAGGCATCGAGGCTATGAGCATGTACACCTGGGACCTGTGCGTCTCCTGCCTGCTTGTTCTCCAGTCCCCGCTCTGTTTCAAAGGGAACTGTACACCATGAATCCACGGACTTCTGGCTTCTTAGGAGGAATGCTCAGTAGGATTGGCCACTCTTAATAGGTTCTGGCTTCCTGGGGGCGGGGGCTTGACCAAGGAGAGACCTTCCTGGAGGGCGGGGACAGGAAGCAAGGTTCCCCACTCCTGCCCTCTGTGACCATCGCAGGTGCAGCTCCTCTATGGCTCCAGCCTTCTCTCTGTGGTCCCTGCTCCCTGCCCCCTCCACTGCGTGGTCCTAGCTTTGAGCCCCAGACATGCTGCCTCTCTCTTTAACCCCCCATCCCAGGGGCAGGAGCAGCCTGACTGCAAAATACTTTTTTAAAAACAATTTTTCAGGACAAGCCAAAATATTCTCCCTGTACCTCCCATCCATGGGGCTGTGGGTCTCCGTTCTACCCACTGAGGCTCCCAGGGCAAATCTTCATTGGTGTAGATTCTGGGATAAGAAAACTTTGTGACAAGACTGTTGAGATAGGCCAGGCAGGAGAGGAAAGCAGTGGCTGGATTCTGAGGGTTCCTGGAGGTTGGGCAAAGTGGTGTGTTCTTTAATCTGCAGACAGTGAGAATAAAGGGCTGGCGAGAAATCAGAACTCGATCCCCTAATCCCGTACACCTTCTCCACTGCCCTACGGCAGGCAACCCGGACATTGGATACTCAAATAATATTTCTCATGACCTTAAGAGTAATGTGAGCCCCTCGGAGGCACTCTGAAGCCTGACTGCTTACTGGATTCACTAAACACTTACAAATATCTAGAATCTTGGACCCACCCCTTGAGGCTTGCACTCCCTAGTACAGACTCAGTATGAGACCTTTGGGATAGGACGAGAAAGCTGACAGCTGCTACATAGACTGTCTCCTTTCACCTTTGACACCTGAACCTGTCAGTGTTAATAATCAATTCACAGAGGGGGTGGCAAAGGCTGTTATCAGCTGAGAATGATCTCCTGCAGCCACTCCAAACTCACCTGCACACCTGCACCT